AAGTGACGATGATGGCATCAGTGAAGGCGTAGGCGACGACGTTGCAGATTTCTCCAACGATCATGAGCGTCATTCCACCCCACCACCAGGCGTTCTTAAGGTATCCGTATCCCTCTCCAGCAACCTCGTTGTACTTCTCGTTGGCGCGCAAGAGACCGAACTTTTTCATGACGAAAGAGACCCCGATGAAGAACCCGGAACCAATTGCAAGACTAATACCAATAATCCTGTGGGAAGCCGGTCGGTCGGCGGCATCGCCAACCGAAATACCGGCTCGCTCGAACATCATAGGATCGAAATCCATCGTGACGGTCGTTGAAAGCCTCGCCTTCGTCGCCAGCGACGGCGAGAAGGGTGAAGCGGGAGGAGGAGGAGGAGCGGCGGTCTGTGATCGAGGACTGTGGGGGGGTCGGTTTACATGTGGGAAAGGAGCTATTCGGGCTTGTTAGCGGCGGTAGGAAGAGGTCAGAGACATAGGTCGGCGGCGGTAAAAGATGAGGAAAAGGAATACAAAACAAAATAAGGATATGTCGCAAGAGAAGAAGTAAAACCAGCCAGAAGCGCTAGCGTGGTCTGGGGATGAGACGATATTTCACCTACACACCAACAAGCTATTGGAGACCAGCCCCATGCTCTAACAGACGAGTTACGAAGCGGCAAAGGAGGCGCAAGGCGCTTGATTTGGCATGCAGGCCCCGACCGAGATCGAAGACAGCTTGTGTGTGGGTGGAAGGTGGAGCGGGGTGGGGAGGTTCCCGCAGAGCAGCCGCCGTTAAGGACTGAGGGCGGCCCACCCTCTGTTCCAAGTCTCAGCGTTGGCCTGTGGGAAGCTGCCCCTAGGCCCCAGTTACAGCGGCCACAGGCCCAGAGCCCACCATCAGCTAGGGAGTCCAGGCCCAGGACGTGGGCCTCGTAGGCTTTTCAGCTGCTGGTTGCCCAGCTCTCAAACACTGAAGGTTTGCGCTTGCAGGCCCCCACTCACAAGGCATTCTCATTCCGAAGGTTCCCTCCGAGCAGCTCGAGGCATTAAGGTTAATTAGATTCACATATGATCTTTAGATACCCAAACTATGCATACATATGGACACATCCTCTTCGGTTCATTGCTGTTTTCGGGCTGATTTGATTGATGTCATTTCCCTCGGTGCTGTCTGCTCCGTCCCCGATGCCTGTCATTGAGCCAAGCTGGGCCGATTGGGGAGGTACGAGCTGATATCAGACTTACCGGTATGAGGCAACTCTTAGCACTGGCCCTAGCACCTATTTAGCTCGTAACCGCGACCAGGAGAAGCAACGGCAGATCCATTTCTGATAGAGCAAGAGGCGCGGCCGTCCCCGCTACCCAACTACCTTTACTGGCAGAGATATGACCTCAGCGAGCAACGACGTCACTCCTCAAGACCCGACCCTGAAGCCATCCCCCAAAACTTGTTTAGCGGATGTCATTATGGCAAGTGCGTTCCAGGTGACAATTCCCATGACGCCAGTATACATTCAATCAGACCGAGTAGGGGGTCCTTCATGACTAGGTAGGTCGATGATGCGAATACGGCTCCTGGACTTCTTATTCGAGTTCATGGATGATGAATTTGGTGGAGGTTGAGCCCCATACAAATCACTTCTCCACGGCAACGGCATCTGTGCACGTTTGGATCTACTGGGCCCTGCTCCCTTTGCCTGTTCCCTGCCTGCAGCAACTTGAGCTCAACAATTTCAAATTTCTCCAAAGTAGCACCATAAGCTTAAAACTTGCTACTACCGACGGCTTTTATCTTCATAAAATGGCGTCGCCGATTTCAATGTGTAACTAGCACACCCAGTAGTTTGGAGCCTACTCCCTCTCTACATCTACCTTACCCTACAGATCCACCGACTCTCAAACTTCAGGATCACCAAGTCTGGCGATATCATTCAAGTCTTGCTACCTCATGATAAGGCTACGTGCAAAATAACCCTAAAATAATAGCACATCTTGACTATCCTTATGCTCGCCAGATGTATACATGATGTTGCCCATTGATCTGGAGCGCGGTCTTGCACAGTCGCTCAAGATATGATTGGCGGTCAGCCGCACACTTGAGGGACTGGGAAAGCTCAACTATCGATTCTAAACTTGGCATCTCTGCGGATTTGGGGCTGTTCATTGACACATTGCGAGTACAGTATCGTAAGCCTTTGTAATTCTCATCAACAGCAAGCGAATGCGAGTGTGCCGTTTATGCATGCCATACTAAATGCAGTATTTTTTCCATTGCAGTGAGATGAGACTCAGCCACCCCCAGCTGCGTACGACATCCCACTCGCAGAACCATCACCGTGGGTATCATAACGGATCCGCCCACATACGGTTATGGGATACCATTGCGAGGTGGTATGACATATTCCATGCACTCAACGCCCTTGGATACCTTGAATACCATCTCAATTATTAGCGAACAATCTTTTCCCTACAATTCTGTTCACAGAGTGGTCGCCCGGGTGTTTGTTCCTATTGACTTACGCCTATCTGCTTCTGGCTAATTTTCTCCCTATATTCTCGAATCTCTGGCAAATACCTATGCTTAATCTAACCAGATTCGGCCCATTCATCATTGTGCGCGAATGCATCTCTGTTCACAGTTCAATATTCGCAATCCCCTTCACTCGCTGTTCCGGCCAGTCCCTTGGCTTACCCTACACCACAAGTACAATCTACCTGGTTGTGCATCTCCTCTTCCTGATATAGGATCCTGATGTGTATTAAACCTTTTAGATCAAAACATCAATTGGTCCCAGGAATGGCAAGCCTTTCGCCAATGTGAGTGAATACCTCGGTGATAGACACTTCTTCTACTATTTGTGTAAACGGGCGCGGAGTCCACCAAAGTTCTGCCGCGGAGTAAGCACCTTGCTTGCCATGATATTGTGTAACCCTACAAGCATCGTGGCATGTGCTCCCAGGGCAATCCAGACCAAATCCTTCCGCAATAATACCTACTAAAAGACCAGATTTGGTCTGTCGACCCGAGTGCCTCAACCGGATGCGTGCTCCTTCATCCCATCGTCTGGTGACCTAATTGGACTTTTATGACACATACAGCAAACATATAGAGAGGTTCGTAGTATTCGACCTGTCAATATGCAGACTGCGCCTCTCGAGCACTACCTGAAGGTGAGGTAATAGCCCATGTTACAGCGAGCAATGGAGGGTTCTGGGCAGCGTATCCCACAATCCGAAATAGAAACACGCACTCAATGAAGCAGCGACCATTTCGTTATTCTTAGCCTTTTGGCTCAGCTTCACCAACCATCGAGGTTCTGACCTTATGCCGCGCACTGCATTTATCGAATCCCTACAGCTTGCAGCGGCGAAGTAGGATCGGTAACACTGGAGGCTCTGTCATTGAGGGATCCTGCGCAGGGGATCACTTCCAAGTGATTGATTCATGGTCCCAGAGGCACTCAAGTGGGTGACAATGAAATTGAGACGCTCAAACATCAAGTTGCTTATTGTCGAGTCTGCGACCGGTATCATCAGATTATTGACTCGCAATAATATATACTTCAGAGAGAATACTCTACATACCTACTGCCACTTTATTTTAATCTCAACTACTGAAATCTCTACTTATTGTAGAAAGCAGTGTTATTATAACCAACTCTTCCATTTAGTGTCACATTTCTCCTGTCACCCACTTGGCACTGCAGTGTCCTTTTAATTCCAAAATGCGCGAATACCCGACCTGGCATTCCCTTTTGGGGCATCAAAAATCAAATTATGGGGTCTGGAAAGTCCCGTCGCGATCCTACAATTCGCTTCGTTTCAGAGTCTTAGCTAAGCGATTCTGTTTGATTAGATCAGAGATTTCAAAGGGTTGGGAGGAACTACTCGAGGAAGACGCCTTGAAGGCACGACTTCCGGATAGGAAAGAAGAAAAAAGCTCAGTGAATGAGGATAAGTTGGAGATCTAGCAGGCAGACAGGGATCGTTGATGGACCGAGACACAGCTGATCACTGTGAAGGCTCTGGCGATGAATTAGCGCATGAAGCTGAACCCCGCCTTTGCCAAGCTCCTGCAGGCTGGGAGATCTCAAAAGTTCAAAGAGCGCTCGAGAACATGCGGCTGGGATGGCTTGGCTGCGAACTAGTCTGCCAACGATGCGCGAGGTTGGATACTTGCATAGGTAGCGTCGTCCGGGAATGGCTTGTCCGCCAGTTCAAGAGATGTGAAGAATTGGCTCAATTGCCTAGCTGCCGCCAAAAAGCTTGATCCTCTATTATTAGCATTCATATTGAGGGAGGGCCAGTTTTCGCGATCGATTGACCATCATGGATCTATCTCTGGCTCCCTGCTGTGAGGCGTCCATAGCGCACTCGCGCCGCATAGCCCCACTGAGTCTGGGATTTGGGGGGGCCTAAAATGCTTAAAGGCAAGCTCTGTGCTATTTTTGCCGGAGGCCTGCATGAAAGGCCCATCAGCCCGTAATAGTAATACTTCTGGACCCATCAGAGCCCGATTACGTGGTAGAACTCTTTTTCCTCTCTCAGCACCACCACTACGGCAAGTTCAGCGAGCCGAGTAAGCTGACGTTGAGGCAGACCGTCCTTTCCACGTGCTGGCGGGGATCATCCCAGAGGGAGTATTCCGGTTGCTATCCTGGATTTGTCTCTAAAATTCGCAATACGATGCGTATAGATCAGGGTGACGGTATATATTTTTTCAGCCCCCTTCATATCCGTCGTACTGTGGAGAGTGGCATGCTAGAGCCATGTCTTTACTCATCTACTCGTACTGATCATCTGTGTACTCTGTAACAACGGCGTAGCTAGACTGTCCCAGCCTGATTAACCTATTATTAATAAATCCCATCTTTCTTCCGGTCGCATGACTGATGCCTGCCGGCAAGGCTTTGGGTGACCGCCTATACCTGAAGTATGGCCAATATTAACGCTATTGAATGCAACCTTTGCCTAGCTCCCTGCAGTGATAGTGAATCTAGCCAAGCCTGAGTAATCCTCGCTAGCACACACGCAGGTGAATAGAGCCAGATGCGTTCTGCATCAACTTTCGCTTGGTGGGCAGGGCAGGGGTTGCGGAAGGTGGAGGGTATGTTGCCTGGACTTGAGAGGATGATATCCACTGGAAGAGCCTGCAGGGCAGTCGCAGCGACGCCTGAAGCGTCCAGAGCCCGCTAAACTGGCCCGAATAATCGGCTTCGTCAGGGACTTGCGCAGACGGTTCTTCCCCGCTGAAAGTGCAACGTTCCTGGCACGATCCATCCAATGTCGAAAGCCTCAGTTCAGCAGCCTTGGACAGGGGACTGATCCTTCTCGCGTCCAAGGCCCTGCTCTCTTCATTTCGGTCTAGCTCCATCAGGTTCACGTTCGGCCGCTTCCGTACAGCCATCTCACCATTCTTGCTGTCTGGCCTACCTTACCCGCGCATGGATGGTGCTAGTTCCATTTCTCTCTCTCCATCCATGTCCAAGGATGCCACACTCTGCAGGTGAGGTGGAGGGCTGTTGCAGTTTGCAGGGTGCTGCTTATGGGGTATCGTCCTGGGCCTTGGGTCCATGCGAGCTGCGTGTCTCCCATACCGCCGAAAGCGAGTGGATATTGATGGATGGGCCTGGGTTCTCTCCGGTGGTCTCCATCTAAGTAACGTGAGGCTGCCGCTGCTCGTCTTCCTTCTCATCTCCTCAACCACTCACTGCTGGTTCGAGACGTCTTTCTTCGTCTTGGCTCGCTCGGTTCTCATCCACAGGAGACATACGTTGAGCTTGAAGAGATCGTCAAGTCAACCGTCGCCAAGATGAGCACGGCCGATCCTTTCGTCCAGGGCGATAATGTCCCCGAGTGCATCACGTCTTGTCTCTCCAAGGCTGTGGCCAGTGTCAACTGTTCCAGCACGCAGTCATGTTGGTGTACCGGAAGCAACGAGCAGGGCATCAAGGATGCTCTGACTACCTGTTACAAGGAGAAGCCATCCGCCTGTCCCGAGAACCTCTTCGATAGTACGCCGCGCCCTTCCTCGCAGTTGGGGCCATATTTGCTGACGAATTGTTTTGAACAATAGGGATGAAGGCAACCGTGGATCTGATTTGCGACCAGCAAGCTGCAGCCAACGGCACACTATCGGCGACTTCCACTTCGTCGGTCTCAGCTGCATTACCGACTGGAACTGGCACGCTTAACTCGGCAAGGTATGTCATTTCGCCCTGATCTAAGGGTGATTCTAGCAACTTACACGGTGACAATAGTAGCGGTAGCGACTCTGGTCTTTCTAAGACGGCTATGATCGGTATGAGCGTGGGCCTCGGTGTCGCTGGTCTCATCATTTTCATTTTATTATTCCTCTTTATTAGAGAGCGACGACGAAGAAAGGGCATGGAATTCCAGGAACACTCGAAGCGATCGATGAGCAAGCAGTCGACTCTCCGCCCCGAGCACATGTCGGCTAGGGATTCAGTAGCGACGAAGAGAACCAACACCCAGAGCGTCGATGCCCAAATATGGAGGCCTCCCCGTGTGTACGCAGGCGACAGCCCTCCTGTTCCAACTCCGACAATCCCGACTTCGACTGGCACCCCGGTTCGAGATGCGCACTTCCAGGATAGCCCGCAGCACACTCCTCGCAATGGGACACCTCAGAGGGAAACGGCCCAATACAACCAGCGACAGAACTACCAGGATCGAGACAACTACACTGATCCTCGCCTCGCATACGAGCTGCCGCCTTGATTGTCTATCGATATGTCATTTTCGACTCTTGCTGCAACGCTACTCTTTCAGCTGAATCATTCTTGATGGATTCCTCTCGCTAGGTGTGATGACGGGGGTGACCGAGTCCGGTGTATTTATTAAACCGGCCCAGCATGGTAGTATGAGCCTTCGGAGCTGGCCATGCTTGCCTGTCAGGTCACCAAGGATCAGGACCCTTTGGTTTCGGCATCTTTATTCTCTTCGGCTCGCAAGTCACCAATTGTGGTGATTGATGATCCGGGTTGCAGTCAATGCTGCAACTAGAAGAGAACTCTACTTCTTTCAGGTGGCCGCCCCTCGGCGTTGGCTGGATTGGGCGAACCATCTTTGGTAATAGATTCTCAGACCATAACTGGCATCTGAGAATCTGGGGGGCTACAAAAAGAGCCTTTTAATCACTGTTGATTTAACAGTAAACGCTGATCATATTGATGATAGCGTCTCTTGGGTGGAGGGTAACTGGGATGGAAGGACGAGAATACGTACTGGTTCCTGTTGATGAGCGTGTGATATCGCTCCCCACCACCACTTTCTATGTTCTCGGGCCGTTTGGCGTGGTTTTTGGATCAGGATATCTTTGCCGTCTTACAGGCGAATTCGATCTAAGGCTGAGGGACGATGGATGAATTTCGAATCTCTTCTCCGATAGGATGCAGGATGGTTTGGGAACACATATAAACCCGAAAGGGTAACCTATTTTTTTGTAATTTAATGACCTGAGATATGACTTTAAACAACCTTACAATTTACACAATCTACAACCTCAACCGACGTCATATTGAAGTGATGTAATTAGTAGGCGATCATCCTCAGCAGAGGGATGATCTGTTGCTGTACCCTGGACGTTGGACTTTGTACAAAAGCACAGACCACCCGCACCCGCACCGAGAGATCCACTTCGGTCAGGCACTTTGCCGGATCGAAGGAATCAACGTCTCGTCTCCAAACCCAGCTTCCTGATCAGCCTGCCGACGAAGGGCATCGCAACCATTATCTGCCTGCCATTGGGGGACGAGACCAATCAATCCGATCAGACCACCAGCTCTCCATCACAGCCCCCAATGTCGGCTGCTCTGCTTCGGCCGCGCCTGGCCGTGGGCCTACGCAACGCTGCCCCTCGATCACCCGTTCCCACCCGCCGCTACGCATCCTCATCGTCGTCGTCGGGCAGCCAACTCGGCGGAGCCAAGATTGCTCTGTACAGTACCGCCCTCGCCGCCTCTGCCTACGCCGCCTACCTCTACACAACCGACACCCGCGCGTCCTTCCACCGGTGGCTCGTCCCTCCCGCCATCCGCCTCTTCTTCCCCGATGCCGAGGACGCCCACCACGTTGGCACCGCCGCCCTCAAGTTCCTCTACCCCCTCAACCTCCACCCCCGCGAGCGAGACGCCTCGTTGAAAGATGCCCCTGAGCTGCAGGCCACCGTCTTCGGAACCAAGATCTCTAACCCCATTGGCATCTCGGCCGGCCTCGACAAGGATGGAGAGGTCCCCGACCCCCTCTTTAGCCTCGGCGCCGGCATCGTCGAGGTCGGCGGCTGCACGCCCCTCGCCCAGGAGGGAAACCCGAAGCCTCGCGTCTTCCGCGTGACGGCCCTGAACGGCATGGTCAACCGCTACGGGCTCAACTCGCGCGGCGCGGACAACATGTCGGTGCGTCTGAGGGACAGGCTGAGGCGGTTCGCCAAGTCCGTGGGCGTGACCGAGCAGGACGTCCTGGACGGCGAGGCGGGAGTTCCCCCCGGGAGTCTGGCGGAGGGCCGGCTGCTGGCTGTGCAGATCGCCAAGAACAAGGAGACGGACGGCTCGGACGAGAGGGCCGTGGCGGACGACCATGTGTACTGCGTCAGGAGGCTGGCGCGCTACGCCGACATCCTCGTGGTCAATGTGAGTAGCCCCAACACGCCTGGGCTGCGGGACCTGCAGGCCACAGGACCTCTGACGCGGCTGCTGAGCGCGGTCGTTGAGGAGGCTGCCAAGACGGATCGCAAGCAGCGCCCCAAGGTCATGGTCAAGGTGTCGCCGGACGAGGACGACGAGAGCCAGGTCAGCGGCATCGTCACCGCGGTGCTTGACAGCGGTGTGGACGGCATCATTGTGGGTAACACGACGAAGAGGAGGGATGGCCTCCTCCCTGCTACCGGACCCGTGTACCTCACCTCCAAGGACAAGAAGGCACTGACGGAGGAGGGCGGGTTTTCTGGCCCCGCCATGTTCAGCCGTACCCTGAACCTCGTGAAGAAGTACAACAGCGCGCTCTCGACCGCGACGCTCAAGTCTGGCGAGGCGGAGAAGGTCATCTTCGCTACGGGCGGCATCACTAACGGCGAGCAGGCTCTCAAGGTGCTCAATGCCGGCGCCAGCGTGGCCATGGTCTACACTGGTATGGTGTACGGAGGAGCAGGCACAGTCACGAGGATCAAGAGCGAGATGAGAGACGAGATCAAGTCGAAGGCATGAGACGATTCTGTGATGAATCGGAAAAATTTACAGTATGTATAAAAAAGAGCACCTTCATTTTGAGATTTCCTTCATTCCGTTATCTGGGTTCGAGATAGTGAATAGAGATGGGTAGGCGTTGAGAACCCTGAAAAAGGGGACACTCTCTCGTCGACGAGTTGAGTGCATAAAAATAGATCAAGAGCAAAAAAAAAGGAGAAATACTTTCAGGTAGGATAGCAAGATCTACGTACATAGGTAGAGAAAATTGTCTATCTATTTCGTTGGAGCGACTTGTAATACGGTGATCTGAGGGTTACCAAGCCATCAATGGGTCGTCATACTTACAGTCATTTTCTGAGATTGCATCCTCTGGCCTCTCTAAGTTGAGGGTGGATCTTTTGTTGGTATGCAATGAAAATCTTCGCTTCCTGTCATCTGATGCTCCAGCGAGAACCTTTGTGGTGTCTGTTGGACATCTCAGCCTCGACTCATTACGAATATCAATCTCTTGGCCCGGGACGACCTCCCGCCCTCGAGACGGCCTTGTACGGCGGTTTGCGTGAGTGTCTCGACTGCGCCACCGAATCGGCAGCACCCAGTTTCAGAAAGCAAGCTTAAATCGGAAACCGGGTGAGCCTCGTCGCCAATCAGGGCTGACCGCAAATCCAAGGATCGGCAGAAGGGTTAATGCGCTGCGTCATGACAATGCAGCCCGACCCAACATCCATCACACACGCTCTCCGCTGTTTCATGTCCACCTCGCAGCTGGCCATGGATCATGCCGTGACGAAAGATGGAGAGTCATGTTCGACCTTGCCAAGCCCTGCCAGCAAGTAACCACCGCTCAGTGTTGCGGCATCAAAAGAGCGGCTCCCCCACAGACCTGGATCCAGTTTTAGGCTCGGCATTTGGGCTGTGTGTGCGACGAGGACGAAGCAAGCTCGGCGATCACTCGATTGTGATTGATTTATGCTTTTCTCGGGCGAATCATGGACTGCATCGTCGTCTTGGCAACACGCGTCAGTGGGAGACGATCCCAATTGCCAAGACGACGCTGAGACCATCCCACTTCCCGGCAGAGCACCAGTGTAATATGTCTTGAGTTATTTGGAGAATGTCATACTGAGCATGTTATTTGCTGTTGAACAAGGACACGAAGGATAAATAGAAACGTTTGGCCGCCTGTGCTCTGGTTACTATTCCCTATCTATTCATCACTCAGTTCAACAACTCAGTCAAGACTATCTCCAAGACTTCAACCCATCTCATCGACACCATGCATTTCTCTAACTCATTCCTCACTCTGGCGCCCCTCGCCCTCCTGGTTCGAGCTGACCTCGACCTGGATATTAACGATACTCCCCAGGTTTGCCGCAGCATCTGCCAGCCAATTGCTACTCTGGGTGACCAGTGCGACGTCGACCTCCCGGGCGACAACAATGACCGCCAGGAGGATCTGCTCGAGCTCCAGTGCTTCTGCACCAACAACAGCTTCGATGTCTCCAGCGTTGCTTCGCTCTGCCAGGACTGCATCCGCCAGAACCAGAACAACAGCGGCAACGATGATGCTGACGATGCTCTGGAGGGTATGTACTTACACGAATATAAACCTCTCTAAACGTGGGCGAGATGATATTAATGTGTTGGCAAATAGACATCAACAAGATCGTCCGCTCGTGCAGCTTCTCGTCCACGAGCTACGCTGCCAGTGCCGCCACCTCGTACATCCAGTCCGTCACCGTGACTGCGACTAGGCCCACGGACGCTTCCCAGCTGACAACCACGTACAACGGTGCTCCCAGGACTACTACCCAGAGCAACAGTGGCAGTTCCAGCACCACTACTAGCGGTGCCGCAGCAACCAGCAGCGGTAGTTCCAATGACAACGGGAACGCTGCCTCCGGCCAGGCTGCCTCTCTTCTGCTTGCTGGTGGCTTCGCCGGTGTTGTTGCTGCAGCTCTTTGCTAAGAAGGATGGGCGGGACTGTTTACCTTGGTGGGAGACGTTGTCTGACTGTCATCATTCATTTTTGCTTTGTATACACTGCCATGTCAAGGCTTGGCAGTTTCATGATATAGGATGATATGAGTTAATGAAGCAGCCGAGAGGAACGATACCAAGCTTAGGCTTGGAATTGAGGAGAATGGTTGTGGTTCTTGTGTTGGAATGAATTTGATTATATCGCAAACTATTTACGTATATCATTGATTAACATACTCTACAAGAGCAATTGTGATTACCATGTCCTCCTATTCCCAAGAAATAATCTCGTCGTCGTCGATATCAGTATCCATTAGCTCCTCGCTTAGTTGCTTGCTTTCGAAACTGATGGATTCCTCCGATGTCTTGCGTTTCACCCTCCCCGCTGACGCAGCTATCTGTCGCTCGTCGTCGTCCTCCTCCTCCTCATCAAGGTTTTCTTCAGCAATGCCATCCTCCACCAGTCTCTCGCCCTGACCCACGACTTTCCCCTGGTCCAAGCTGTCTTTCAACTCACGCCTCAACTTTTCGATCAACGCCTGGTCTTCCTCCCTCTCTATCCTGTGCACTTCCCTCTCCTTCGAAAAACCAGCAACCTTCTCCTTCAACGCCCGCTCGCTGTCCATCATCTTCTCCGTCATCATATCCAGCTGAAGACTCACCGTCTCCAACTCCTCCCCCATCCTCATCAGATTCTGCCTGTACATGGCCTCCCACAGATCCGTCTGCCTCAGCGCCATCTTCGCCAGGGACATGGGCGCCCTGCCTACCACGTCCCCCGGCTTGTGGTTGTTCCAGATCTTGCAGTACCAGTTCCTGTTCTGCTCGATCCGCAGCTCCAGCTGCGCCATCTCACCTCTTAGAGTCTCCAGGCTGGCGTCTCGCTCCGTCAGCTCACTCTCCAGGGCGTCGTGGTCGCGCACCAGGGCCTCCATGTATAGGTTGTGTACGTTCCTCTCCCACGCGAGGCGCTGTTCGCGGGGCCAGGGGGGATGGCTGCTGCCGGGGAAGGACTTGTCCTTCCACTGGTCTTTGAAGCGTTTCAGCCGCGCGCGGGGGAAGTCTACCCTGCGGCAGGTCGAGTTCGATCGTCTTGGTTGGAGGAGGTCGTTGCTGGCGCAGTCGTCTAGGAGTCTACGGTCTCTTTCGCGGTCTGTTTCACGGCTGAAGAAGAGACCCTGTAGGGTGCTCCAGCTGAAGAGAGCATAGATTGCGCGTAGTAGAGTGGCAGTTCCTTTGAATAGGGACTCGTCGTAGGAATGGTACACGCCGGAGGTTTCGAGCCAGCGTGAGACTTGGGCGAGGGTGAGGGTCGCGAGTATGGCGGCTAGGATTATAGATGCCGCGGGGTGGTTTTGGTGGTTGAGGAGGTACAGACTGGATGCTCCGAGCCAGTCTAAGACTAGAGGGAGATAGTTTAGCAGTTCTTCTATTGAAGTGAGCAAGGCATGGAGTTTCTCAAGCCAGTGGGCGACTTGGAGGGTGATGACCGATTCTTCCATTGGGATGACTATGATTGGGTTCAATTGAATTGTGGATTTTATGTTTTAATCTGCGGTAGCGATGAAGAGCTATATTCAGTCCTTTAGGGACTATCACTATGAAGACGAATTCGGTAAAAACGATATAAGTGAGGTGGTTCATGAACATGAAGATGTAGGTGGCACAATGGAGGTTTTAACAATGGAGGTTTTGATGAAGAAGAGTGAATGCACACGCGGAAAGAAATACGAAAACCAGAAAAAGAAAAGAATGAGACAAAAAAGAAAACATGGAACTAATTAGAAGCAGGGTGGTTGTGTGACAAAGGACATGGGCTCGTGAACTATCGTAGCACGAGGCTGCGACCAGCCTGCGCTATAGGTCTCTAATTTGAAATGTCCACACGTGCCTAGTAGCATCTATATATTCGTACCTCACTAGTCGGTATCGATGGATATATCAGGGGCCTGGCGATGAGCGATAGGACTTGAAAGGATATCCAACACTTGTCCTCTGCACCTGAGAAGCTACCTACCTAGATGCCTACCTATATAATGCCAAAAAGAGAGTTTGGTTTCCAGCGAAGTAGCAAACTAAAACCTCCGGTATATCTCTCCCTCCAAGGAGAGCTTCGCTTCGAACCCGGTTCACCGAGTGGACCGTTTATTTTTTTACTTTCTTTTTTCCCATCTTCTTGCAAAGTTCATTCGATCATTTTTCTCTGTAAAGTATGTACATAGATATCATCCCCGGCGAGGGCCTTTCTCAACGTCTCTTGTCAGCACACTTGACCGGCCCAAACGTCGATCCGATTTCTCCCCACTTCATATTGCTGAAGGTGACCTCGGTATCAGGCTGGATCTCGCGGATATGCTTAGGATCGCCCTCGGTATCGCTGCAAGGGCCGGCCTCCCCAGAATCCAGCCACTTCATGAAACCGCCCTCGTCCCACCAGACGCTGAAAGCAAGCACCATACCTCTCGCCAGGGCCTCTCCCATCCCTTTCGTCGCGCCGAGCTCTCCGTACCGTCTCGAGTTGATGGCGGTGCACAGCTCGTCGCTCAGGTAGTCGACCTGGGGCAGGTCCGTGATGTTGACGGCGCCGTTCTTGATCAGCTTGCCGTCCTGGATGTACATGCGCCGGTAGGCCTGGAGCACGCCGTTCTCGTCGGCCGGGTACTGGGAGATGACGGTGAAGGGCCGCGTGGTGTCGACCTCGAGCCCGAGTCCGTAGCTCTCGTAGTTGTCGAACCTCCAGGGGTTGTAGCCGCAGCCGTCCTTGTCGCAGATGCCCTCGTACGCGCACTCGGCGCCCTCGCACTTGTACAGGCCCGTCTGGTTGCAGGGATGGGGCGCGATGTGGGTTGCGCGCGAGTTGGCTTCCCAGATGTCCATCTCGTTGCAGCAGGCGCCGTATCCTTCAATATTGGGCTGTGAACTCTTGGTTAGCTATCTTAAATCATTCGACTGGAAACGCAAAATGGAGGCTGTAGGAAATGGAGAGTGTAAGCTGATAGTCCATACCTCACCGCCTACAAATGGCGTGGTGTAGCACTGGGCATCGCAATATCCCGTTCCCCAAGGCGCACCGGCCTTGTTCATGTCGCTGAGCCCACCATCTGCTGGCATCTCTGACAGGTAGAGGGCCCCATTCATCCCGCAGGGCAATTTAGAAACATCAACGTCGAAGCTGAACTCCTTTCCTGTGAGTTGCATCATTTCGTACGACTTCTTATCCTCAGACAGGAGGTAAACTCGGGGGCTCAAGGTAGCTCCGCTATCAGACAACATGTCAAGTCTGAGGCTTCCGCCGTCAGTCGTGACTCCATATTGGGAGTAGTCTTGGACGCCCTCCATCACGCAGTTCTGCTGGCATGTCTCCTTGTCCGGGCATATGTCCGCGGGAGGCGGGTTGCCCCACGAACCGCATCCTACACTGGAGTTGCCCACTAGATGGACTGGATGGGCTAGAGAGTCTAGGACGATATGGGTCTTCTTCTCTACGCAACCACCGGCCTTGGTGCACTCCCAAGTTGTGATTGGGGGGTGGATATCAGGAGTGTCCCCGGCATGCTGTGACACAACCAATCCGAGAAGAGAGGAGACAAGGAGAAGACGTGAAGAAGTCATGTTGGCGTGGGCTTGTGTTTGGGTGTCTATTCTCACAGGAACCTCCTATATAATGGGCGCAACTGGAAATATATATACAAGAAAGGCCGGAGCCTTCGGTCGACTGTGGAGATCTTAAGCAAAGACATGTCAATGTATCCTTAGTGACATACTCCGTAACCCATTAAAATGTCTGGCTGATCGTCCCCGGTTAGAGACAAATCAAGTGATAGAAGCGGCCCAGCTCACGAACTCGGTTCCTGAATATCGGTATATCGGCGAGTCGGCCCTGATGCCGCTGTCCCTCGATTCTACATGACCTGACCTGCTTTGGCGCGCTTTTCCAGAGCATTGAAGCGGGGAAGAAGGTTGAAGCAGTGAAATTTCCGAATGGGGATGCGGGAGTGAAGACCTCCGCATCTCACCCCCTGTTCGGCTTCATTTATTAGGAAGGACCAGCAGCCGGCATAGGTCACTATTCCCCACATTCTTATCTCACGAATCGAACTTCCGCAGAATGAGGTTTGAGGGGGGACTTAGCCGACTGGTGTAGAAATCTGGTGTGATCTTGGCCGCATTGGCTAATTAAGTACCACAGCCTGTCGGCCCTGGATCCGGCTCGTCATAATCAGCCTGCCGACGTAGTTTGATTGCAGGCTGCTGGAGAATGAATGCCTTGCTTGACCGAGAAACAATTGCTGGCTTGTTTGTTTCAGCGAGGGATCCGTCCTCATTTTGGCCTTAGGATGATCGTCATGCTGGTTTGGTCAAAGGAGAAGCACCCGCCGACCAACATGACACAGGACTGGTGGCTCAAAAAGAGGTAGATCATTATGGGTAACCTCATCCATCGGGGGTTGCCACTTGTAGCGGGGTATTCAACTTGGCGAAGATTGTGTTTGTGGCGATTTGGAGGCTTTCAGCCTTTCGTGGTGATATCACCAGGCTTGAAACCGTCAAGGAAACTCTGAATCTCAAATCGCTTCATTCCCACTCCGCGCCCCTCGTGAGATATTTGTCCACGTCAACGCTCCCAAAGATTTCTCGCTGGAGCTTCTCCGTCTTCGTCTTTTCCTTTGCTTGGGCAGCCTTGAGCTCTTTAACGCTCATCGGCTTCTCCTTGACGACCTTGACCTCACCCTCTTTCATCTCCGGGATCGTAGCTCCAATCCCGAGATTGTCCTCCTTGGCCGACACCTTGATGGGGAACCGCATTCCTTCTCCCTCCCTGCCCAGTCCTTGGCGCGCATCTGGATTCCACCCTTGCGCCTCGAGGGCCTTGAGGCCCATGCGAGATCTGTCGAGCGCCGACGGCGGGTGGGAGTGCTCAAGGCTGACCTGGTGAGCAAGCGAAGCGTTGTGCTTGCTGATCGACGTGGTGATTGGCAGCAGGCACACGGGGCAGATGGTCTGATCTGACGTCTCCTGGGGTGTCGTGCCTCCCGCTGCTTCTTCTCCCGCCACCTCCGGAGTCGGCGTCGGCGTGCTAGAGCTGGCGGAGGACTGGCTGAGCACGATACTAGCGTAGAGATCCCCAATAGCCGAAGCCTTGGCTCTCGAGGCGGAGGCCGCAACTGCCGTCTCGTCGGGGTCCGTGGCACGCACGAACTCGATCTTCTTGCGCTTCAGTCCTGAGCCGAATGGCTTCTTGTGATGAAGTGGGATGTCCTCCTCTTCCTCATCCTCATCAGAGCCTCTTGACCGTCGCATTTTTTGTCTGGGGTAAACTAATGCAGACGCGGATCCATGCTTTCTCTTGAGCCAAGTGCGGGGACTAGATTCGCAAACGGAACCACTGAAGTACACGCTGAATAAGAATGTAGGTATCTAGCTTAGAAAAGAGTGCAAAAAGCAAAAAATGAAGAAGTGAAGCTCCCACCAGGGTTCGAACCTGGGCATTAAGGAGTTTTGGGGAATCAAAACCTTACGTCCTAACCACTAGACAATAGGAGCCTGAGGCGTTAAGGTCGGCCGGCCGGAAATTAATGTAGTAAATATAAGCTTGTCCAGGTTGATGCAATTCACTACGTTTCTGTACCATTGACCAACACGGCATACTAGACTTGGAATGCATGTTGTATCTACAGGCGGCGGCTCAAGTTTGGGGTGATCAGACCAAGACACCTATTATGCCACCATTATTGCTGAGTCATCTAACCTGTGCGCAGGATAGCTGAGTCATCTAACCTGTGCGCAGGTTAGCTTAGTCAGCTAAACTTTCCGTGCCTGAAGGTGTGAAGACGAAACTTGTTTGCTGCTTTCAATGGTAGGTGAACAGCCATTTTCTGGATATATACCTTAGTTTTCCGGTCGAAAATTAATCCAGTATATATAAGCTTGTCAGTTCTAATATCATGCACCATGCTTCTGTACACTCTTATCCGTACCATTGATCAGGACGATTAAGAATGACTTTGGTGTTGGCATGTTGTGTTTACACGCGGTGGTTGACTTGGTCGGGAGGCATCGGTTTGCGTCTGTCCTAAGAAACCCAACCTGTAAGGAAGGTTACTGCCCACAAACAGCATGGGAAGGGGACTTCTCCCAATAAGTTTGGCAAGAGACCTGTGGCTCCTAAGGAGGTCACACGGCTCCAAAGAGCGCTCAGCCCAACAAGTCTAGTATCCTTTAAAAACTCCCCAAATCTACCTCAGTTCCGAAGTAGATCAAGTCTGCAAATGATTGGTTTGATTCCAAGAAATGGATCCACCCAAGAATATTGCCAAGTGGCCTCTTGCTGTCATGGATTGTGTCGCCTTTAAGAAGGCTTTTCAAATAAAGAAACCTGCCTGAAAGAACACTACTGCTCCCAGAAACGCTCTTCCTCTGAATAAAGTTCCCCAGGAAACCCGTGGCTATTAACAAAGGTGCTCCGCCAAAAAGAAGATCCGGGCTCCGTCAAAGAAGCATCGATAAGGTCTTATATGAGTGTCTTGGCGAAGCCAAATCTAGCGGACAGGGTCAATAAAATTACCATTAGAGCAATCAGAGTTATGCGATTTCGATAAATACCATGATACGACCTTGCAGAAGGAAGTGCCATGGCTCGGTCAAATGTCTTGCGAACAGCCTTGTCTCGGCGTGGGTACAGCCAATTAGTTATATGGAAACTACACTGATACACGCCAGTTGATGGATTATGTATCCAGCGGAATTTCAAAATATCACAGCAAGCACTTGGCCTTCCAACTCCCCAATGTAGAGCGAACTAAGCTCGGTAGTGAAGAGAAATGAACAAATCTTTTCCAAAACTCTCATACGACTACTAAGCTTTTTCAGAAACGAACTCGAGAATCAAAAGACCCAAATGGTTATCCTATTCCCGCCAAGCGAAGCTCGAGTGCCCAACTTAACTTTGAGATAACTACTCACTTGCCAATAAAACTTACAAAAGCGACACAGCTGGCCTCACGGAATAAAGGAGTCAATCCCCCGTGTCTTATCATCGAGATCCTAAGGCAGCACTAAGTCTTGTTTGGCCAAAACCGGCCTGCTCGAAACTATCAAATATGTCTTGATCCTGCTAAGACCTCCAAACAGGAACGGCATATTCACGAATCCTACGGTTCCCAGGTCCTTGCTTCTCAAAAGGCCAACCTCAGTCTAGCGTACGTCAGGCAGAAGAGGTACGAAGAAACGGAGCATCTTCTGGTTGAGAGTCTTGGCATTTGTGAGAAGAAACTCGGCGCAAGGACAAAGAGTCATTCAGGTAAGCATTGTGTCCCTTTACAATCCAGTCCCTACTAGGTAGGTAGACTTAGCAGTACGCACAGGTGTTTGTTTCGACCTCCGGATTTCATCTATTCTTGTCTTGGGAACTGCCGTATGGGATTTGACACTTCGCTAAAACAAAAGGTTTCATCTATCAAGCTACACTGGGGTGTAAAGTATAACAAGAGATAATCGCTAGATTTCAAGTGTAGCAATTGGCAGACTCCAGTTCGGTGCTTTAGGGTCCAAGGCCAGCCTCAGTTTGAAGTTATACAAGCATACATATCATGAATGTTGGTCAAAAGTCAAAGGTGAGAAGGCATTTGAAATCGCTGGGGTGTATGACGCCCCATCCCGTAAGATTCGTTTATTCAAAATATGGCTCATTCAAAAATAATTCATAGACGTTTCATAACCAGTTTCATCAGCGTGCATTAGCCTGACGTGCACGTCTCTTCTCCTCTGCCTGTGCCAGTATGCGCTGGCCCAAGCTTTCCCGCCAGGAGCAGTCGTTTCCAAACTCGCATGTCTGGCACTTGAAACCCTCCTCTATCTCAACCCCTTCGGCCGGCCGCTCTCCGCGCCACCACTCCATGTATTTGGAAAGGTATTTTTCCAGCGCTACCCTGGATACAGGGAAATCAGAGACATCTATATCCTCCCCAGATTCCTGGTGAATATAGTGAACACGAAGCATTTGCCCGATAGAATCTGCCCCTTCAGGGAATGTGAGACGTATTTCATCCTTAACCAATGAGATAAGATCACGGAGAGTGTTATACTTGAGTAGGTCAGGAGCCGAAGCCATCCGTGAATCTTCCTCACCACTGGAGGTAATATCACTTGATGTTGGAGCTACCTGTGAGCTCGCGGGCGTGTCGAAAATCTCATCGTGAAGACTGCCGATCTCGGCCATGAACGTATCCGAGAATGTATCGTCAGGATCGAGCCCATAGCGGCGAAAAACCTTTAGATAGTCCAATTTTCCCGCGGCCATGTCACACAAGAACATATGGTACAGAAGCAACTGGACCTTGGCTGGCTTGACAACAGCACGGGTGACGGGCTTGCGTGACCGTCTGGTCTTCACATCTGTCAGGTAGACCTTGCGGTGATGCTCGGTCTTTGATTTTTGTGGGAAGAAGTCTCGGATGCTCGTCTGAAGCTGCGCCGCCTGCGACTCTTGGCTGGAGAGCTCCTCCTCGAATTCCTCGTTTGGGTTGTCATAGCTGACGCTGTCAATGATTCCGTTGACGAGATTCCCGTCAATCATACCCCACACTTCCAATTCCCGGGTCAAGCCCATGTCGCGGAGGGTTCTTAGTCCTTGGACAAAATTCCAGAGCCGAAGACCAAATGCATCCTCTTTGGTCACAATGTCGATCTTTACGGCCGTGTGCACCTCGTCCTCTAGCTTCTGATGCATAGCACTGCCTTGTCGCATCGCCGCGGTGCGAGTCCGGCGGCCTCCAGGTAGCCGAGTAAGGGTATAAAAGTACTGGAGTTCGCACCAAGCGCCCGATGTCAAGTCCGACACGGTCAGAGGCTTCTTGGGATAAGACCGGAACCTCTGGAGGGGTGAGCGACCATCGTCGGACTCTTGACCTCGCGCCGATGACCTGGGCGCTTTACCCTGGTCTGTAGTTTGCACAGCAGGCGGGGGAGCCTCCTCGTTGATATTCTTAAGCGCCCGACTCACTAATCGCTTCACGGTCAGTCAGCCTCGACCACAAGGCTTTTGTAAGAGAGGGCCATTAAATTACAATCGGGATATTGGATGTCGCCATCCAGCGACACTGGTGAAGGCAGCGTGCGTGGCAGCGCCTCGACATGAGCCGCCATATAGGACTGCTGCTCGAACGCATTGTGAGTTCTCGGCGCACAGTTACTGTACGTGAAATCCGTGGCATGAATGGCTGCAGCATTGTCTAGGACCAGCTCACCAGCGGGGCGAGCGGAAGTAGCAAGTTGGATCAATGCCTCTTCGTCTTCTAGCGAAAAATCGTAATCAAAATCGTCGCTATCTTGCGAAGCTAGGTTTGCCATTGTAGCTACTATCATGAATCATGACCTGGCACGCTCATCGCTGGGCGAGGCGGTGGATACAGCAAAGAGTTGGGTGTTATTTTAAGGTGGCGTTGTCCACTCATAGAGCGGCGATTAGAAAGTGGTGATGTTAGGCAGACGCGAGAGCCACACGCCGTCACGTGGAAGCAATTGCCGGATTGGGAGCATAGAAGGAGACAGCGAATAGAAAGAAGCCACTACCCAAGCTGCGATAGTTTGATTCTTTTGCCAGGCGATTGATTGTTGGATGGCATTTGCCCGCTCAAGCCACGAAACTAGCCACTGTCTTGGATCTATCTGTGGCTGTACAGGTTAGCCGCAAGCGCAGTCAAGCGCCTGCCGCTATACTGGCTATTGGGTCTCCGCCACATTTCGAAGCTGAAGATTGCTGTTGTTATTGTTAGGTATGATTAGGAATTGTGAGGTGGTAACCATGTCTGCTGAGAATACACTCTGATACTATTGCGCCGAATTCTGATCAAGGGAATAATCAAGAGGTCTGATTCTTCAGCAGGCAGACGCATTTCAATCAATGAGTTACACATGTAGGTAGGCCCACCCATGATTGGTTAGCTCTGTGGTGGTGTAGTTGGCAGGCAGCACAATTCAGGCCAATCTGTGTCAAGGGAATGGCTCTAACCAAGGCAACGACATTCAGGAACCCGCACCTAGACTCAAACAAGCGCAGCAACTTGCCAACCGTCTCGTATTTTGGGATCGGCCATGCCTGCATGACCGATATGCCCGTGCTCAGAATATTCCGTCGACGGTGGGCTTCGCCGTGGCGGTGCATCAGCTGGTACCTGAATGCGGGCGCCGCCCCCTGAGAGCCGCGGGGCGGGCTGAAGCTCGTATGGAAACGTGAACATGGGGATGGACCGAACACGCTGGCACTCCTATTGTAGTGTAGACTGTGGTGCGGTCTCAGTCTGCTTCAAGGCAGCAGCCGAGTACATAGAGATTGGTGAGCGCCTCGCCAGTAACGTCCATGCTTCCGTACCCTTTTGCCCTCCGCAGTCCCCAACACGCGTTTGCCCACATCCGCGCCCCCTTGACATACGAGCCCTGATACCTGCATTCTGCTCTATAGCCATGGCCTCATCTACGTTACACCGTCGTCGAGCAGTCAACAGCTCCGGGTCTGCCCCCGCCGATGCTACCGACTCCACTCGCGGCATCAAGCCAGCATCACAACGCGCCGATTCGGGAGCTTCTCAGTCCGGGGCCGTCGACTTCATGTCGCTACCAACCGAGATCCATTTTGCCATATCTAAGCATCTCATCTACCCTGACGCCTTGTCCCTAAAGCACACGAGCAGGCACTTCTATGGGCTCGTGAACACAGGCGTCAATCTCAAGGTCGAGTGGCTGATTGAGCGTCGAAGCCTGCATCTCGAATGCCCCAATGACAAACGCTGCGACTTGGGAAGCGATCTACGCTTCTGTCGTGGGAGTGTCCCGTAAGTCATCGTCATTCGTCCGTCCCATCTCCCCTGGCTATACGTCGCTGACATTATTACCCTAGACTTCTTATGAAACGCCGCCGGGAGCACATGGAGTGTGACTCGAGACCTGGGTTGGGCTGCCTCGTTTTTGGGACAAAGACCTGTGTCCATCGTCAAAGAAATCCGAGGTGGAGGCGATGGCTGACGACCAAGTTCACCATTGAGCTGTGGTGGGTGCTGCTTGCGCTCGTGCCTTTTGCATTCGCTTGGGCCTGGTTAGCCGAGCTCATCGGCCCTCAGGCGAGCTGAGAGCAGATGGGGAGGTCGGACGAGCTGCGACGGCATAATGCGGCTGGAGCGGAAGGTGGTAGCAAGTGTGTGACAGCCATCTTCTGTTATACGTTTATGCCGATAGGACCAGGGATTCGGGATTTTAGGCGTTTGACGAACGATATTTTAGGGTTGAACAGATAAGCCTTCTCCAGGAGAGGAGGGTCTGGTTGGACATTGCGCAGTTAGTAATGGTAATAACGATAATACAATATTTGAATTCAAGCACTACCCAGGTCTGCCCACCTAGTACCAAATCACTTTGATACCTACCCAGTGCCTCAATGATGCTTGGATAGCGACCTAGACATGCTCACCTGATCAATACCCATTGGAGGTTTCTATGCAGACTGGCATCGTGGATGCGCGGTATCTCGACCCATGCGAATTAGGTACTGCCGATGGGGCATCCCTGGCCAGCTGCCCCTGTCCGTGCTGCACTACAACGAGCCCTATGCTCGCTATTGAAACGCCTGTGTTACGTCACAGCGCAATGAGGCCTGTGACGACCGCCTGTTTGAGACGCCCACTTTTGGGTGGTGGCTGCACGACCGACTAGCGCCGGCCAGAGGGTTAATTAGAGGGTCGATCAGAGGGTTACAGGCTGCACCGCCGGCAGCAGGTGTCCTAAGGTAAGCTTTTTTAGGCCTGCCGCCTTCCGTTCAGGACTGGCTGCTGATCCGCGCTGATTGGGGCTCGTCCAAACCCCGCCATCACCGCCAGACAGCCAGCTCTCCTGATCCAGCCCAGCCCAGCCCGACCCAATTCTCCTTGCTTGCTGTGCGGTGCTGTGCTGTGCTGTGCGACGCCGCCTGTCTCTCCTCTGCCGCTTGCTCTTCGTTTTGGCAGCCTCATCCTCGACCTCCTCGTACCGAACAACCTGTTGCCTGTGGCGTGGCCTGACCTCGAGGTTCAGGAGCGCCCAGCAATTGCCGCCGAACCGCCATGGGCTTCTCCGTTATTGACCAGCAGCGGGATGGTGAGACCCTCACCTGTATTCCCCAGACTCTCCTGCGCATGTTGTCTAATATCTGTCCCAGCTATCCTGCAAGGCATCCAGTCCATCACTCGAGGCGACGTAGGACTATCCTCCTTTGGAAGCTTGGCCGATGTGGACGCTGACAGCCTCAACTTATAGTGGAAATGCCTGGTTGTCGACACCGAGTCCAAGAAGATTATCGACAATGCCGTCAAGGAAGATGACATTCTCAACAACAACATTGCTAGTCAGTGCTCCTTGGGACTCCTCATGCACGCCTAAGACTTCTTGCTGATCCGAGCCCTGTAGCTATCGAGAAAATCGAGGATCGCCGCGAACCGAACCCCGAGATGGAGGCTATATATATCCTCTCACCGGAACCCCATATTGTCGATTGTCTCCTCGCCGATTTCGACCGTCGACGGTATAAGTGCGCGCATCTTCTCTGGACGAGCTTAATAGACCCTAGCTTGCGGCGCAAGATCGACGACTTTCCTGGAGTCCGGCAACTTCGGGCCAGCTCAAACACACTGTTCATTGACTTTTACCCTCGCGAAGCCAGCCTATTGACTTTCCGAGACCCCTGGAGTTTCCCGATCCTTTACCACAAAGATTGCGATTCCCTCGTTGCTACCCACTTGAAAACCCTCGCTCAGAAAGTATGATTTGGACTTGTATGTTATGGATAGAGGATTCGTTACTGACCGATTTCCCTAGATTGCTGGTGTCTGTATCACTCTTGGAGAGTACCCGAAAGTCCGTTATTGGCGCCCTAGAGAGCAGCATTGGGATGCTGCTGTGCTATGTACGCATCTGGCCTCCTTTGTCCAGCAGGAGCTTGACACCTATGCCCATTGGAACAACAACTTCCCACCCCAGACCGGACGACCGCAGGCGACGTTGGTTATCACAGATCGTGCAATGGATGTCGTAGCACCTCTGGTGCACGAATTCACGTACCAAGCGATGGCACACGACTTACTTCCCGTTAAGGAGGGGGATAAGATTACGTATCGCACCACAATCAACAAGGGCATGCCAGATGCCGAGGAGAAGGATCTGGAACTCAGTGAGAAGGACAAGCTATGGGTGGAAAATCGCCACCGACATATGAAGGATACGATCGATAAGCTTATGGGAGATTTCAGAAAGTTCATCGAAGAGAACCCTCACTTCACAAACGAGAATGCCGATACAACCAGTCTCAGCGCCATCCGCGATATGTTGGCGGGCCTACCGCAGTTCCAGGAGCTCAAGGAAGCGTACTCGCTTCATCTCACCATGGCGCAGGAGTGCATGAACATCTTCCAGAACCAAAAACTACCTGATATTGCCGCTGCTGAACAGACGATGGCCACTGGTTTGGACGAGGATTACAAAAAGCCAAAGAACGTTTTGGACTCTGTTGTGCGACTCCTGGACGAAGAAACGATTAGCTATCCGGACAGGCTGAGGCTCATTGTTTTGTTCATCATTTATCGCAACGGTGTTATCTTGGAGGATATTAAACGACTGCTAGCTCATGCATCTCTGCCGCAGGCGGACTCAGCTGTTTTGGAAAACTTGCGAGCACTGGGCTGCCAGTCTCTTCGTAGGGATGTGAAAGAGCCTGTTTCTGAGCCAACAGTCTTGTTCCCCAAGGATACAAAGAATGCTCAATTCAGTGAGGAATACAGCCTGTCTCGCTTTGAGCCAGTGCTGAAAGATGTGATTGATGCCACGGCAAGAGGCGTTCTCGACCAGATAGACTTCCCCTTCGTTAAACCGCCCTCAGATCCAAATGAGGACATGCTCCTCGCTCAGGGCGGCTCTCTCCGAGCTGGCCGTCCAAACTGGGCTTCAGGCGGTCGACGTCCACCAGAGAAGCGACAGCGCATCCTTGTCTTCATGGCTGGCGGTGCCACCTATAGCGAAAGCCGTGTTTGTTACCAGGTCGGCAACGAGCGAGCCCGTGAAGTCATCCTGGCAACTTCCCATATGATCACGCCTCAACTTTATATAAGGCAGCTTCGAGATCTCAGCCGTGGTCGCCGTCAGCTCGACCTACCGGCGGACCGGCCCAAGCCACAGGCCCCCGCGCACCTCTTCGAGCGCCCCAAGGTTGTCCCGAAGCCTGCTGGTCCAGGCCCGACAAACCCTTCGCCCCATGGCGGCCCGGCCCGCAGACCAGTTCCCCTCGCCCAGGATATGTCGAAGATGACCCTTGGCTCTGGCGGGAATCCGTCTCCTCGACCCATCCAAAGCCCATCCCAGAGCTCTGTTAAAAGCCCGGGCACACCGACATCACAGCACCAGCAATACCCCCCGAGCGACGGGAAACACCACAAGGAGAAGAAGCTGAGGAACTTCCTGGGCATGAAGAAGTCATAGGCGGCTTCGACCGCCTGGGAAAGCTCCTCAAGTACCGAGGAGCGGCGACACCGCCAAAAGCGGCACAAGGACCAAAGAGGGACGGTAGATGGGTTGGGCAGGCAAGAGGAGCGTGTGTTGGCAGCGAGTACAAAAAGGAAAAACAAGCCCATAAAGGAGACCAGGTCACAGCCATGAAGCACATGGCCCTCGCGTGTCTCCCAATTCCGCCCCAAACACATCTACGTTTATCAAACCTACATTCTTATATAGATTCTACAGAGGTGGTGCAGTGGGGAAGTAAATCATCGACGGGGGCAGACAGGTTTGGATCTGGACTGATGTTGGCGGCTTGGGGTGCCTTAATTGTCTGAAATTGGCTATATTACATGGATACAAAACTCACTTCTTCTCAGCGTGGCGTTGAGATCAACCTCTTTTTGTCTCCCCAACCCGCTTCTTCCTTTTCTCATGTTATTTTTCGTCTTTCCACACCCAGAGCTGGATAGGTCTACATAATACATACCACTTAGCTTTGAACTCCACCTCGAGAATTCCTGACGTGTATCTACAGCATTACGCAAAACAATCAGACTGCACGTTTGCAGCACTTCATCATCACAAGATATCAAGCAATCACATCAAAAAAACCAAGGGGTAAAACCAGCCAATGCGCCCACGAACAAAAATTTGCCTCGTTGGATTTTCGTTTTCTTTTTGTTTTCTTGTCACAATTGACCCAATAGTTAGTCCCCTCCACGATACGACAACCGGGACTACCTCGCCTCATAGCAGAGGACACGAATACACGGGAAAGTCAGGATTTCCGAGGCAAATGAGAAATAGTTATTGCCATCCGGGCCCCGACCCCGAGTAGGAAAAAGGCGAATTTCCTCCCTCCTTTCCTTTCACAGTACATGTTTTGAGAACAACACGAGGCGTAAGAAAGCCTGCTGAATAAAATGGCTTCTCCTTGAGTCTCACATCATTTCGCGTTGGATTAGATAAGAAAGAATATCTTCGTACTGTTTCTCTGAGAAGAGGTCAAAACATATACTTAGCCTCTACCAAAATTGTTCCCTCGTCCGCCGGGAGCTGGCATTCCTCGGTTTTCAAAAGGTGTTTGGGGTCCAAAGCCCCCCGGGGACTGAGGTCCGGGTGGGCCGTCAAATCCGCCCATTCCGTGTGGCGGCATGAATCCTGGGGGCATCTGGCCAAAGAAGCCCAGGGGGGGAGGTCCCATGTTGCGGGGAGGCATGTTGCCCATGCCCTCTGGCATAGGCATTCCACCCGGTGGGAAGTTAGGCGGGAACATAGGGGGCATTGGAGGGTTTCGGCCAGGGCCGCCGGCAAGGCCTGGAGGTGGTAGCATGGGGCCTCTCTGTTGCTGCTGTTGGGGAGGCTGGAGGGGAGGAAGCTGGACTCCTCCGCCGCCCATCCAGTTCGGTGGCATCTGGTCCAGTCCGGGTGGCGGCGGTGGTCGTTGCAAGATAGTAGGCGGGTTGGGCATGTACTCGCCTTCCTCCAGGGGGAAGCCGGGAGGAGGCGGTGGACGGATTTGGCGGGGAAGACCCCTTCCGTCGCGGCCATAGTCAACTTCGCGCTCCTTCGGCGGCGGAGGTTGCTTGTGAAGCTGCGATTCCGTGCTTCCTGACCCAGCACGCATGAGATTCATCAAGAATTCAGTGTTACTGTTGTTGCGAGCTGCGCCTTCGTCGGGGCGCCCAGATCCTCGACTTGATACGCGCTGGTGGTGACCTACCAAATCTTGCAGGAGCTGCTCAGGTCGAGCAGTCTGAGGCTGGGGCCGTGGTGCATGGATCTCGTGAGGCTGTTGGGGAGGCGGCCGGCCGGCGCCTCCAAGAAGGGCTTCAAATGGCGAAGCAGGCATCTGGGCCTTCTTAGCAGCCTCCATGGCAGGGTTTGGTTGGCCCGGAACCATAAATGGAGACGGGCCAGGAGGGGTAGCGCTCATAGAGTGCTTCTGGAGTTTTGCAAGCAATTGCTGAAACGCTTGCTTCTCTTCATCCTGAGGTGCAGCTGGTGTGAGCGGGCCTAGAGCCGAAGGTTGGGGCTGCTGAAGCATGTTCAGACCCATTGGAGGAGGGGGTGCAGCCATGGGCGTGGGAGGCTCGGTCTTGACCTCATGATTTTGGAAGAAGGAGGTGAACCTGGATGATTTGCCGGCGGGTTTTGGCCTGCTTGCTGCAACTTCCGGCTGATCTCCTGGTGAGCTCACTTCGGTGCTGTTTTTGGACCCAAAAGCCATGAAGAACTTGTCTGGGCCTAGTTCAGTGATGATTGGCGCAGACGCTGGAGGCTCTTCGAAGCTCTGTTCGTGGGGGATGGCCGATGATTCGTTAGAGGGAGGTTGCCCCGTCTTGGTCTTCTTCATGTCCTCCATCCATTTCTGGAAGTCCTGTTGGGTTCGAGCCTCTCCTTTCAAGTCGGCCGGTTCGTCTAACCACTCGGGCTCACGCTCAACACGGCGATCGCCTCCCCATCTTCTGTCGGCGTTCCGGGCGTTGCCTTGATCCTGGATTTCGGATTCTTGGTCGCGTTCTCTCCAGTTCTTCGCTCGGTCGATGCGTTCACGCTTCTCTGGTACGCGGCCCTCGCTATTCTTGGATTTGTGCCAAGCTTCAGTGCCATTCTTATCAGTCGTCGCTCTGGGTTGACCGTTTTCCTCCTTCATGCTGCGCTCCCTTGAAAATGTATCGAATGGCCGTGCAGTTCTACTATTGGGGTCTTTGGATTGAACCTTTTCGTCTCGGAAGTTTCCTCCCATTCTGCCCTGGAAACGCTCCGCATTTTCAGCGCCAAAACTTTTGCGAGGTTTAACTGGTGTCCAGCCATCACTGTCTTGGTCGGTGCCATCGCCACGTCTCCTCAGGGGATTAGTGGCCCGGTTTGCTGATAGACGATCTCCTTCACCTTCATTGCGACTTCGGAAGCCGAACCGCCCTTGTGCATCGCCGTCCTTGAGCTTGTCGCTGTCGGTAGGTTTCGTTGCTCTGCCAGATGAGGCAAAGGCCATTCGCGGAGGACCAAACACAATGTCTTCAGGGTCTGTAGGTAGGTAGGTGTCAGCTTTTTTCATGCAATAAGAAAAGGAAACCTCTCGGGGGGGCGTACTAGTAGCGCTGTTTCGAGAGATATGCCGGTCAATATTCGGACGTCTATTGGTCTGGTCATGCAGAGGGTTTTCGACATTTCGGAACTTGTCAAAAGCTCCGACCTGGCCACGGGGATTTTGTTGTTGGTGACGAGCGGGCTGTTCAGGGGATTGTCTTTGAAAGGATACTGTTAGCTATGGTAGCCAATCCAGAAATTGAAGCGGATTTCACATACCCCATCCACTCATCAGTGGGCGGGAGATTTTCAGGCTTCACACATAATGGAGAGTCTCTCAGACAGAGAAGGTCCTCTGTCGTATATCGTAAGGCCATAACAAGGATGTGCACGCGCAACGCGCATCTGTTAGGAGCGCGCTCGCCAGTCGCCAGTCACCGACCAATTAGGTACTCCTCAGGACGAGGTATATGCTATGATCGGGAGAATGTCTGTCGTTAAGGATTGTTTTCCAAGCCCTCAAGAATAGCAATGCTGAAATAAGGCGATCGAGTACAGGCAAACTTGGCGGTGTCTGGTTTATGTAGGGAGTCGGATGGAACCTGGTGGAAGAATTGCTGTTGCGAGCTGAGAGGAAAAAGAATGTTGGTTGATATTGGCAGGTAGAAGCTGGTGGTGTGCACGGATCGTTGGTCGGATCACGAAGGCGTGCAGGATGTCTCGCAAAGCACAGCGGCGGTTTTCCAGTTCGGTGGTCGAATTAGGCTGCGATCGTTTGCAGGTTTGGTTGGGTGCGAAGGTGGATGAGTAGAGTGGGTAGGCAGATAGTTGTGATGTAGCGGTTGCGGTACGGGACAGCAAGAACTGGTTTATGCTGAGGCGGGAGGCAGCGCGAATGTCGCAGAGATGGGAGCAAGTACGGGATGCCGCGACAAGGATGGCGTTTGAGGGCTGCTGCGGGACGAAGTTGGGCGGTGATGCTCCAGAGAGAGATGTTGCGTGTGACGAGATGGATGGATGCGCCAACAAAAAGGGAGGGGGGCGGTTGTGGAGTTGGTGGTGGTGGTTTGGTGGTGGTTTTGGTGAGGGTGAATTCTGGTGGGTGCGAGCGTGCGCTGGCCAGTGGTCAATTGTGCAGAAAAAACTGGGTGATGGCTGCAGCGCACGCTGGCTAGTGGTGGGCAGCGCTGCCGAGTCCTGCCTAGGGGGCAGCTGATGGAGTGCTGTGCCTAGTGGTGCCACTGTGCAGCATCCATGTTCAATTTGATGGGCTGACCTGAGTCGACGACCCTCATCAACTTCTTCTGCCACTGTAACGAATTGCCTACAAGGTCTGGTACATCTAGCCCTACTAAATGCATGGTGTTGAGCCATAAGTGTCTGCCGTTCCTGAAGCCATATTAAGGTCTGAAAACGACGAGCCGTCGTTTAAACGGTTTCCTGGTGTGTCTTAGGCAAGGGTGCTGGTCTCTCAAGCCACACGCACCTTCTCCAAGATGTGTGTACCTTGCCACTCAGCCACAGTTTGTCGCCTAAGCCACCCTTGAGCCAGGCTTCCTCCACCAAATATCACAGGTGGGGAGTTGGTATGGACTCGGCGCTCAATTAATTAATTCTTACTTGTTTCCCGGCTCAATTACGTCGTGCGAAGACTACTTGAGCCAGAGGCCATTGAATACCAGTCTCAACGTAATAGGGACTTAAAACCCTGGTCAGTCATAAGAATGCCATGTCCATTGACTCGAGAGACAGAATTGCCCGTCGCCTTCCAGGTCTCAGCTTCGATTGAAATGTTTCACACTGGGTTAAGGTGAACTTGAAGCTGCCTACTTACGCTTTCTCCTCACCTTCACCATCACTTTCACGCATCCTTCTTACCACCTCAGCTAAAACGACAGAAATCCAATTATGCAAGGATATTAATATCATATTTCATCTGGAATAATTAATTCATCCGGCTGTACTCCCATAGCCTCCCCCAAACCCCAATCAAGACCCAGAAGCCGCACATCTACTGCTTGGCAGCCGCCACCGCAGGGACCTCCTCCTCCAGAGGCAGGATATGCGGCAGAGGGCCGAGCGGCGTGATGGACAGCGGGTTGATCTGGGTGTGGCTGCGCATGTAGTGCCACTTGATGTGGTCGAACTGCGTCGTGTCCCTGAACGCCGCGTCCCCCCAGTACAGGCTGCGCATCCACCTGTGCAGCGCCGGGTACCCCGAGCGGATGTCCCTGATGTTGCACTTGAAGTGCTGGACGTAGACGGGGTCGAAGCGGACAATGGTCACGTAGAGGCGCACGTCGACCTCGGTCAGCGTCTTGCCGAACCAGTAGGGCCCGTCCCGCTGCTGCGAGAGGTGCTCCTCGGCGCGGTCCAGGGCCGCGAAGAGGGCGACCACGTTGCGCTCGTAGGCCTCGTAGGTGGTGGCGAAGCCGGACTTGTAGACGCCGTTGTTGATGCCGTCGTAGATCCAGGAGTGGGCCTCCTCGATGTCCTTCTGCAGCTCCTTGGGGTACAGGGAGACGGCACGGTACTTTTCCTCGATGAGGTCGTCAAACTGTAACATCGAGGTCAGCATCCGGATACCATAATGAAGAGGAAGAAAAACGTACCTCGCTGGCCAACATGCGCAAGATCTCGCTGCTCTCGTTGCTGACAATTCGCTTGGTCTTCTTGTCATAGAGAACAGGGACTGTGAATCTGGCGGCATACTCGGGCTCAGACTCAAAGTACACCTGCTTCAGGTGGGTGAAGTCCTCGTGGCCCTCAATCGGGTCGGGAATCACATTCTCGCCTGGCTCCTTCTCATCCTTGGTCACAAAACGCCAGCCGCCCTGGCCGAGGTGCCAGTGGACGACTGAGAAAGAGATGATATCCTCCAGCCCCTTGAGCTTGCGGGCAATGAGCGTACGGCAGGCCTAGTAAATCAATCGAATTAGTGGCTGTCAAAGAATACCGAATACGCGTATCTTCAAGACGCTAGTCACATACCCATGGGCAAGCATAGCTGACGTAGAGGTGGTATCGACCCTTCTCGGGGGGATACTGGGCACCGGCCTCCCGCGAGATCCAGTCGCGGAACGAGCTGACTTGGCGCTTGAACTCGCCGGACTTGTCGCTCACGCTGACCCAATCGGTAATTTTGCTGGCCTGTTGGAGCTGGTCAGTCACGAGGGGACTAATTAAATATTACTGTGACATTTCCCCTCCTAGGTTTTGTGCTTACCATCCTGACTTGTTGCTGATGAACGGGTAGCTTCGATTTGGTTGGTTGATCACGAGTGGAAGCACGGTATAAACGGATGCTTGCAATTGGGGCTGAACAAAAGCTGCCTGTTCTCGTGGGTACTCTCAGTGTTCTTCCTGTACCTCTTAGAGCTCTGATAGAGAGACCTGTTGAGGAATTCATTGATGAAAGAGGGGTATTTGAGACAGCGGCGGCCCTCTTAAATACCAAAAGCATATCCATCGCCACATGCTACCTGTGCCAGCACACCTCACCAGAGCTAAATAGATTATGCAGCTTCACACCTGGCTTAGCATTTGATTACGCTACCATACTATTGAAGCTCGCTTTGCTAGCAGTTACTAAGCCCGCCAGCATTCCCCGCATTTAGCCCCTTCGTTGTCATCATGATGTGAGCATCCTCGGCGATTAATAAATGGGAGCTAAGCAGCACTAGATAAATTCCACCATGGAAATTTACGGCCTTGGCTTGGCAGTTGGAATGCAGCTATCGTTCGTCAGTTCGGCATTTCGTGGTCTCGGGAGCTACTTCAACGCCGTCCAGATGGATCCTGGTGCTGGAGGACTGCCAGCCTCTGCTACAGGGTAACAAACATTGACGCTGCAAGACAGAAATACGGACAGTTAGCTGATAGTATCCAACTACCAGTACTATGGACAGTGTAAGATAAATCATAATGCGAGGTTTATTCATTTCGTCTCGTCTATCTTCACAAAACCCAAAAATTTCATAGCCCTTGGGCTTGTGTTCGACTCGCATTTTCTTGTCTTCATCTTCACTCTATTGTACCCTGACTTTGATATAAGGAACCTCCACGTCTTCCTCATCTACGTCCTCTGCAACAATCTCGAAGATGACCTCCTTCTGGTGCGCAGGGATTGGCTTCTTTGAGATGTGTTCCACCAACTTGCTGAGCTTCATGCCGTAACGCTCCTTGAGCTTGGCAGGAGGGAAGAAGCTTGCGTACAGAAGGCTGACCCCTGAGCTCAGCATGCTGACACTCAAACCCTTGCTCTTGAAAAAATCCAAGAGCTCCTGTAAGGTGATATCGTCTACTTCGAAACGATCCCATATCTTGTCCAGTGTAACCTTGCCCTCAGGACCCTTGTATTCCACCTTGGGGCTGGCAATAGGCTCACTGAATCCGAAGAAGGGAAGTGCAAGGTTGATGAAGCCGTTTTTGTATTGCTCGATATCATCTTTTCCATCAATGACCTTGTACAGCTCGAGGCCAATCAGACCAGTGACCAAAGCGGTTGTGGTAGCGATGGCAGGAATGATCTTTCCAGCAATAAACTTGGTCTTGTGGCGATCTGCAGGCTCGATCTTGTAGTTTTCTGCTCGCAGGTTGCTACAGGCAGTGATGAAATCGATGTGATGGTTGCTGTCGTCGTCCTTCTCAAAATCTACAGGGGTGAGCTGGAATCCAGCGAGTGTGCTGGGTGATGGAAGACTGGCGGTGAGCTTGCTCAGGTCATCGTCATCATCCGTAGCACCTGCATTCGGGTCCTTCATGTGCAAGTTAGTTTAAGGTCCGTAGAAGAAAAAGCTAAACAGCGGAGAGTGGGAAGAAAACTTACAGGCTCCTTGTCGTCAACCTGGATCTTGACGTTTGAGTCGGGGGAGAAATCAGGCACAATAGTGTTCTCGAGCTCCTTAAGGTAGATTAACCTATCATTCCCGGGCGACTTGATGTTGAAGTTGAAAGCGTGGAGGTTCGCGCCCGCAACAATGAAAGCAAAGTGCGTAGGATTGTTGGGGTCGAATTTGAGGGCGTCAGGGGCGCGCTTTGGACCAGACCAGAAGGGGGTACCGGTCGAGGTCTCTGCATCCTTGGGGAAGTTGTACAGAAGCTGCTGAACCTTGTTGGAAAATTCGGTTTCGAACTGGTTTCTGGCCCAAGCAATGCAGTCCTCGAATGTGCGAGGTCGCTCGGTAGTGAGATAGTTGCGGATTGTTTCCAGGGTATCCTTCTGGTTCCCTCCCTGCTTCAATGTCGTCTCCAAAAAGTTGGGCTGAGTCAGGTACAAGTTCACAGTCTGGGGTGCCTTGACGAAACATCTCTCGAACATATATTCCTTGGCCCAGGCAATAGTATGCTCGATTCGGTTGGGGAAGCTGCGAATTGT